TTAAACAAAAGTTTCCTGACGGCAGTAACCTCTCTGGTCCTCCCTCTCCGTTCTACTCCTTCGCATCTTCTACCTTCTCTGCTGTCGACATCGCGGATTCTAGGCGCGCGTTCATGCATGGCCCAACCATGAGCTAGGCACATCGCTTCTTTGTCTACTAACATGTTTCGTTCATGCCTCCTCCGCCCATTACGGAAATTCTGTTGCTTCTTCGCCGGATGAACCTTTTTTTTTTTTTTTCATTTTGTAATGACGAAAATTGTTACATTTTCTCTCATATCTCGATAGCGAGCGCAGTTTTGTAATTTATTTACGTGGAGAAAAGGTTTAATTATTCGTTTATGCGGATAAATAATATCCCAACTTGCAACAGCTTTAAAAAGCTCATCTTCCGAGCGTATCTTCCCGGATGTACTTCCCGGATATACTTCAGCCGGTTAAAGAAAGCAAGAAAGATGGAAGAGGAATCGTCACAAAACATGCATATCGAGCCGCGAATCTTCCCCGTTTTTTCTCGGATCGCCCATTTTAATGCCCTTCTCCACGTCTGCGAATCATCCGGGTAAAAAAAGCGCGAGTTGCCGACGGGGAAAATCGTAGCAAGGGCGACAATAAACAAACGCTAATCCATAAATCCTCTTGCAAACGGCAGAAAGCACGCGCAATATACGTATTGCCGACTCGAGACGTACATCAACGCTACGTCTGCTGCAATATCGATAAAACATTGATCCGCCATTCGTGCCTGAAGTCTCTTGTATAGGATTCGCAATGCCGTTAGGCATCCCCCGCGCCACGTCGAGCCGAGCCGGGCCGGGCCGCGCCGTTCACAGATATACCGAACGCTTGCATACAGAACACTATACCACCGTTTCGACGAGATTATATCCGACTCTCTGCATGCGTGCACCCGCTGCGCCCATCGGGTGCACACGTACGCGTCTGCCGGTATCGTGATCTACACGCGAATCACGAAAGCTCCGTGCATAATTCGACGCTAATGGTATTTGGGTCGGGCCGCGAGATCTTTCAGTGACCAATCACGTGGTGAATCCGATGATTATTTGAAAAAAGTGGCTCTCTCTCTCTCTCTCTCTCTCTCAAACATATACACACGTGTGTAATTTAGAATAAGCCAAGTTGTAACGATTGTGACGTCATAACTTACGTGCAATATCTATATGCGAAATAATTTACATTCTAAGAAATATCGGTGTGAATATAATAACACGCATTGTTTATATAATTTTCCCTGGTTGATATTAATATCAACATCTCATCACATTAATATGATGTGGATTTAACACCAAGGGTTTTAATCCATACCATGATAGTGTTGATATAAACACCAGCGGTTATAAATTCACAGAACGTTGGTGTTAATATTAACACGATGAAAATTATATAGACACCGCACGATGTTAAATCCACACGATGTTTTTTACAGTGTATATGAACGTAATTTCCATTTAATTAAAATAAAATAGATACTCTCTAAATCTGAACCAGTGGATAATCACTGATATCAGTGCCAAGTATGCCACTGGTAATCAGTGACTGAAATGTGAAATTCCTAACCTAGCTAACCTTTATTGTGTGATCTAATCAATCTTATTTTAGTGCATAAATTCAATGAATATAGTATATTAGAAGATTGAAATTAACATATAAATATCAATATTTTAGGATATATAATGCTTAAACCTCTTTCTTTTTTAATTGAACTTCACTGATTATCCAGTGCCAAATACGTCACTGGGTGAATAGTGGCATACTTGGCACTGACATCAGTGATTATCCACTGATTCAGATTTAGAGAGTACAAACTGAATTAATGGTAAAATGTAAGGTTACTCGATTTAAAAAAATATATAAATAGAAATTTGTGATGCTACGTCGGCTATAAAACGTGTAGCCGGTCTCTTTTTATTTAGAAAATTTATTCCAAGCTGACGCTTGCGCGACACAATTACAAATAATGCCGCATGATTCGTTCATATCCGCGTTTGACGACCGATTAATATTACTCTCGGGTGCATGGTTCCGCTGATCACGATCGCCCTTACCCGGCTCTACCCGATAGATCAAAGCACGCGAAATCAGGGAGCGTCTGCATTATCCGGGGCGATGGCGCTTAACGTTGCGCACCGTCGCGGATTTCGATGACCTATCCTACCGGCTAATACCCGCTTCTTGCCGGATCAAAGTGCGTATTTCCGACGGGCAATGAATTGGCAAGCTCATCTCTGAAGATGGTACTGTAATTATAAGGTTGACGACAGAGCGGGGCGCAAGAAGGATGAGGATCGATGATGATGGACCGGAGAGAGAGAGAGAGAGAGGGAGAGAGGAAAGGAAAAGGGAGAAGGAATAGGGTTGCAATGGAGGGCGCGACGAGATGAACGGCGGCTCAAACACCGTGGCACAAAATTCACAATCTAATCCAACTAAGCAAATTACTCCCAACTTCCTGGGCGACAGTTACGCACGCTGTCCCTTCGCCTTGCATTCCCGGCAACTTAGATCAAAGGGAACCGGCGTCCTTCTACGCGCGGGAATATCGCGCCCGACAACGTTTCATCTCACGGCGCCCGTACTTCCGGCGCCTCTTTTCCTCCATCCTAGCCGTTTCATAGACGTTGAACTTGTATGGCGTATGGCTTGGTTGGGCGATTGAACGCGCTCGACCGTTCTACGATCGCGATCGAAGCAGACGCTCGTGTAACGAACGCATCGAAATGCATAGCTTGTCGCATGATATGACACGAGTTTAACGCGACCAACTTTGAATCATCAATTTCATGTTATTGATTTTAGCCCTCTAATGGTAAGGTAAATTTTCAGAATGTATTCAGAAAGATAAAGTCAAATTTCGATGTGGTGTTTTATCTAATCAATGTATAAAATGGGTAAAAAGGTAAATAATGATCCAAAAATTATTCGTAAATAATAACTTCTTGTTCTGCTTATTTATAAATTTAAAAAAATTCAATGAAGTTCACTGACATAAAAATAATTGCAGTAAAATACACAACGCTTTGACTGACGAAGCCGTAGATCACGTTCAACTCCAGCCTTACACTGAGAAAAATTTCTGGTTGAAAATAAACTAACCAGAAAATTCTGATTATATAGTATATTAATCAGAATTCTGGTTTTCAACTAAAGTGATAGATTCAACCAAAAAATTCTAATTTGTCCATTTTCAACAAGAATTTCAATCAACGCAACCAGATTCTTTTTACAGTGTACCATTAAAAGGTTTACGTCTTTTAATTCTATATTTTGTTAAAATATCTCATGAATGGAATTGCCATATTATACACGGCTAAACACATTATGGTAATATACAAAATCTCTAGAAAATCGTTATGTTCTATTTATGTATATATATACGCAAAGCCGACGTATGCGTCCGAATTACTTCAACCATGTAAATTGCGAAATGGAAAATCATATCGGAATAATTGAATCGTGTAAGCATCTGTACGATTAGATTACAAATTCGAGCAGCTTTTCGATCATGTGTATCATTTTGAGACAGTAAGCTCGCAACTCGCTTCTGGCTGAATAGTATCACTTGCGAGATACGAGAGATGGCTGGAATCGACGTCGTCGGATCGCCGGCGGGTAGGGAGGTACAAGGAAAGGTAACACTTCCGGAACGCAATATCATTCGGAGCGAAGCGGACCGTAATTCCCACTTGCTTGGTCTTCGGAGGCGAGGCAGCAGAAGCTGCGTCTGTTGATTATCCGGCTGGTAAACACGGCGCATTGTTATCGATTGGGCCAACAATCTGCCGCCCCCATATTGACGCAATACTGCCTCGCAGTTGCATAATGAATGGTTGGCTAATGACCCTACGGAGCTTGCGGAAACCGCTGCGAGAGGATGACGGCGGGGTCTGGGAGTCGAGCCACTTCCGGCATTAAACATGCACCACCGGCACGAACGAGTTATCCGAGACATTTATCCCGTTTAAGAGTTACCTGGCGTACCATTTATCATATGCTATATTATTAAAAACTACAAAAACTTATAAAATTAATTTTTTTTTATATTTCTGCATCTGCTGTTTTGACACACATATATTTTAGGTTCAACTTTTAGCAGCAACCATCCACCATTAACATCAATACAATATTTTTAATGATAGTTTAGAATATAATATGTGGCTTCGCAAAAAAATTTACATGTATTTTTTTCGTCTTTTCTTGGTTTTTTATTTGGTATTTTTAGAATTATACTCTTGATGTTGAATATGAAAAGTGTTACATATTAAAATTATCTTTATGTAGATTACCACGTAGCGTGTGGAAGCAACACAGACGTCTGAAATAAAACGTGAGCCGCTTTGCATACATATCTAGTCAAGCATTCCTGCGGTGCTTTCTAAGAAACAGCCGCATTAATCTTCGAGCACCGCATAAATTGAGATTTATCTGTACTTTCATAATTGTTATATGTAAATATTTGTCTCACTGCGCATATAATTTAATAAATAACAAATTATTTAAAATAGAAAGATTGTAAGCTGTTTTACGTTTTATGATACAATAAACAATACACTGAGAAAAAATTTGTTTATCTGATCCAAGGTTGGTAAAGACTAATGTTTTTTTTTAAGAATAAAACATATTATGTTTCTTCTTGAATATGTTTTTAATGCTTCAAATATGCTTTGAACAGTACTATAAAAAAAACATATTTAAAACATATTAAAAACATCAATTAAGCATGTTTTAAACTGTTTAAAACACGTTTAAAACGTTTTTTTTACCAACCCTGATCTGATCAAATTAATTTTAGTTGTCTTTATTTCTTTCGTTGAAGAATACATGTATTAAACATAATGTGTTCAACTGAAATACATACATTCTTCATCGAAAGAAATAAAGACGGACTAAATTAATTTAGTCAAATAAACAATTTTTTCTCAGTGCACTTTTTCAAATAAATTAACGTTGCAAATAATAACTACGTTATCTTTTATTTTCAGCTCTGCTGAGTACGCGGACGTTAATAAGCAGATTCTGACCACTAGTCTGACGCATCACTGTAAGTAACTTACGTTTAATATATCTACTCAGCATTTAACAATACTCTTAGATATTTTTTAAGAAACAATTCCGTTAGAAAAATAAGAATGTTCACTTAATTTAAATGCTATAAATTCCAATAATTGCTATAAATTCCAAGAATTGCGCTTAATAAAGAGCTTCTCATTTCGACGCATAAAGAAATCCGAATTGAGTTTCATCGTGCAGAGAGATTCTTTTACCCTAGTACCGCGACACGGCGAGACTTTCTTCGTATTTTTGTCGCGTGAATTATTCCTTTCTCGCGGGGGCTCAACGTCGTCTGCACCGTTACGCAACTTGTACTTTAGTACATCCCGACTGTGATTCTTTTGTAGCGGTAGCCGGCTTTCCGTCACTTTGCACGGTTTGCGTCGCGAGAGATGGTGAAACGTTAGACGAGGGTCGCGACTTTCGCATGAAACTTCCTCCACTTTTGTCCCCGGCTGACGCCATAACGACTCTAATCTCCTTACGCTTCAAGCTGTTTTTGCCGACCAAACGAAAGTGCTTACGGCGTTGACCAGTCGGGTAAGAGACTTACAATTTACTTCTATCTAAGGAGCTTTGCAGGACGCGCAGAATGTTGTCGCTATTCCGAGCTTTATTTAATGTTCACGTCATTTTACATTTGCGCTACGACGCGAGTTTATCCTGACACCCACCGATGTAATTTTTTTACGAAAGCGCTCCGGTAAATGCTGTAATGTTGGAAAGAAGCGAGAGAGAAAAGACTGTAGAAATTTTTTGGAGTGAAGGAATTAAGAACGACTTCAAAATCGTGAAGGAATACGGAAACATTTCTCGCGATTGAAGAACAGAAAGATGTAAATCCATGTACACACACATGTGACAATTCTATGGTATAGTTTCGTGAATTTTACAACATTTGTAAAGAACAACTTCTTGCTCTTGTAACTACGTGAGTGAGTGTTGAGATTACATTCATGATTAGTGCACAGAGTGCTCCTAAAATGTTTAATCTAACTTCAACAGCGCATTCTACTAAACAAAATAATGAGAAAAGTTCATATAAACGAACAACCATCAAACGCTAACTTTTATTTACTTTTGTTTTCTCGCTTTTTAATTTGAGTAGTTGAAGCGATTTGTAATTAGAAGTACTTTTAGAATGTACTAAGAGCTAAGAAAAGTTACATTTGAAATATTTATAATATTCGTTCATTCTATTCGATTCTATGCATTCGCACTATCATGTATATATTCGTTTTCTCATACATATCACTTCATTGATGCAAATACAAATTAGAGCAACTGTTTGATAAATTATTTATGTACCAAATGTTCATAATTGCCAAATATAATTTGCAATTTTGATCCTTTCCGCATTAAAGTCGGTTATTTAATGTAATAATAAGCAACAGAAATAATCTAGTTTAATGATATTACTTAAACCTCATTGTTACAGCGCGTACATAAAATATGCACAATTCCGATACGAATCTGATAGAGAGCATTGAATGTTTTAGATGGCAAAAGTGCATTAAACGGTCCATAAAATTTCCTTACGGAAATCTACCAACACGTACAAAATTTCGTTTCTATTTATAGCTTATTCTCTTCTACGGGGTAGTGGAACGTTTCAGAACATTTCACGGATGTAGTGTTGAATGAATCATCTCGCGTTCCTACGCATGACACCCCAGGGGCTTTCGAAGGACAATCCAATTTCCACGACCAGTTTTTCGTTTCAAGAATGTTGTTTTCTGCAGGTCGGAAGTGACAGTCTGAAAGTCTCAGGGACTTCATGCTTTCTTTTTCGACGATATCAGATAAATTTTGTCTTTTTATCGAATTCGTATCTCTCTATGAATTAGAAAGTCAAATGTCGCCTGTCCATTTTTGGTTACATAATGTCACTCCAATTTCGCTTAAACACATAGATACACATATATGAATTATTTATCGTCGCTTATAAAACTCAATTATACTTCGCGGTAAACCTACACCCGTATTTTCGCTTATCGTATTACGCTGCAATTATTGCAAAAATTAATTATTCCTCACGGGACTGGAAGTATTCGACTCATTGGGGAATCGTCATTCGGACGTTTATTTCAGTCCGATATAATAGCGTTATAATTAAATAATAAATTTCACTTTGATTTATAATTTATTGATAACAAAAAAAGTTTTAAAAAAATAATATTAAGCTCGGTACATTTATAAGTATTAATAAATCAATATATTATCATATATGCTTAATAACAAAATAAAAAATTACTTCGGTAACTGACAATTGTTATTTTCGTACGAACGTCTATATACTTTATGGTCCTAACATACCATAATTTCGCGTGAGACAAATCTCCCACATTCGCGAGCTTAGAAAAACAGATCAGGGTCGACGATTGTGCGACACGTAATCCAACCCAGAGAATCGTTAAATGGTTCGTGCGACTTCGTGTTAGTGAGAAACGACGTTCATCTAGCAGCATCCAACGGAGCCAAAGTGGGTTTACATCGCAGTTAAGTTTCATCGTAACGCCCCCGCGACGGTTGGATGCCGTGATGCTAAACCGTCTTTCCTGTAGTCAGTGACGACGTCGCACAGGGTGGATTTACCGACCATTTGGCAAATGAAGACGAAACTACATCGTAGATTATGGAGCGAGAGTGAGGCAAAGAGAGTGTAGGACGCAGTGCAGAGTGTCGAGTATCTTAATGTAGGGGTATCTATCGACGGATATCTATCGGCAATAGTTAACACACTGCCGTGATTTCAATAAAAACATTTGTTCGCAGTTGAGAACTTTATCACTTTACTGTTGCAATCAACACGATATTCCTTGTTCATTGAAACAGGATCTTCTTTGATATTGTATTTCCGGTTATTTTTGAATTTCGATTCCAAAGCATTGCTTTCAAGATCGCAATGCACGCTGCTACGTACGTATATTTGTGATTAAATAGAAGAGTCATTACCAAGAATAATTGAGCTTCAAAGAGTCGCTAACAACCGACTTTGTAATCACTGCAATCGAACGGAACGGTCGTTAGGACCCGATGCTTTCCTTCTCTGATCTCGAACGAGACGTCTATAAACGGCGCGGCAATGGACCCGTTTGCTTTCTATCGACTGCTACTTTGAACTTTCGATAGCACTAGTCTATGACACGTGGAAGCTCTCTTTCGAAGTAAATTAAACGGAAATCATTACCCCCCCCCTCTCTCTCTCTCTCTCTCCTCTTGTTTCGCATGCATCTCTTTCGTCTTTATCTCTATCGTTGTTATAATTACGCAAGCATTACTTTTTATTTTGCATATTATTTTGTTTGCAATAAAAAGTAGATATATCTTTTAATTGTCCAACAAAAAAATTTTTGCTCATGACACAAAGTCTGTTAAATTATTAATAGATCAATATCTGTTCATTGTTAAGAATAAAATGCTCCTGTATGGATTGTTACTAGACATATATAAAAATTTAAATACATACATAAGATATTGATAAAGTTATAAAATAAATATTAATATAGTACCGACTATGCTAACGATATTAATGCTAACGAGCAAAAATATACTCTTGAAATTTTCAAGGTGATACATCTATAATTTGTTCGCAAAAAGAGTGCCACATACATGTGACGGTTATTCGATACTTGTGTGTCTGTTCACCGTGCTAAAAATTTCCGGGAAAATAAATACTGCTGTGCTAGAACCACATTCGTGTCAATATATTCACGCCCTGGCGATGCCTCGCGGTTTTTCGATTTTGTCAGGGCAAACAAAATTTATGAGTAAACCGCTTCACTGTAATGTTATAATGCCATCCATCCTCATCGATTATCACCGCTTTTAATAACTTCTATCTCGTCTCCATGAATCATCATCAATCGCGCGACAGATTTTGAAATATATTTAAACCTCTTCTATCAGAGAGAGAGACGGGAAAGGAAGAAAAAGAGAGAAGGAAGAGTCATCTAGAAACAGATTCATCTTGATCGACAAATTATAATAGAAAACATGACGTTAAAACATGACATAAGCCATAATATCTATGAACTAAATAATAAACTAAGTAATTAATAAATAATGAACTAAAAAACTAATAAATATATTTAAGTGAACATTTCAACTGAATAATCTAGTTAAAATGTAATTTCTTTTGAAATTTGCGATGAATGAATTCAAATGTAATTTCAAATAAATTTATTCAGTTGAAATTTAAAATGAATGAATTTTTTCAAAAATGTTTAAAAAAAATAAATGTAATTAATGGCGAATGTATGTATATGAGAAAATAAAGGTAGTGTAATACTTCACACTTATTGATATGCAAATCTAGTGAGTAAACTGAAACAGCGAAAAAAGAACAATGCATGTCGTTAATTCGTCGATACGAACGATCCACTTGATCGAACAAGCAAGCTCATCTTCGTGAGAGATAACACCGGCGCGGGCACGATAGGTCGCGACAAAAGTTAACGAGATGGTGTTAATTAAATCCCGCACGGTCGATCGCGAGTGGGAAAATTTGACAATGGATGTGCCTATACGCTCTCGTCGGTGCATAGGATATATATATATATATATACACATGTATATGTATATACATATATGCATATGTATATATACATCCACACATATATATTTTACATATACACATACATTACACACATGCACATACATATAGATATACAATATACGTCAGCTTGTCTATGCATCGACGCGCACAACGCTACCACGACGGATCGGTCGGTGGGCACGGCCAGTGGTCGAACTCCGATGAATCGATGACCGCTTTTAGTAATGATGTGTACATGGCAGGCCATCCTCTCCCGATGGAACGCCGCGTCGGGGTCAACGCAGGACGCCGCGGCCACACCGGAGGATCGTGTGTAGTGGCAGCCGGAGTTTGCCGAGGGGGACTTATTACGTCCCTGAAATTACCATATAAATTATCGCGTGATGAACCTGCCGGAGTGCGAAACCGTGCACGCTCCAGCCTTTGTCGAG